CTCCTTGAGCTGTCCCTGTCCTAGTCCCCAGACCCGGTGAATGTCCCTGCACCTGGAGAAAGGAGCTTTGCATATGTGATTAATTTAAAGATTCTAAGATCGGAGAGGATTACCCCAAGTGGGCACAATGTAATCGGAAGGATCCTTTAAGAGAGATTTGGGAGGCCACAGGGAGAGGACAATCCCAATGGGCGGGAGGAGGCAGCACGAGGCCTGAGTGGGAAGGAGAGAGAGAAAGGGAGAGAGGGAGACGAGAGAGGGAGGGGGAGAAAAACACAGACTGCCCCTGACACCACAAAAGTTGGCCAGGGCAGCCCCTCGACTTTAGACTCCTAACCTCTAAAACTGTAAGAATTGTGACAGATTTGTGTGTTTTAAGCTACTGAGTTTGTGGTACTTTGTAGGAATCAAATACAACTGGCACTTGTGCAACTCATTCCATTAAAACATTAAGTCACTACTACCTTTAAAACAACAGTTAAAAGAATGAGGCTCTACCCTATATCATCTCTTCCTTTTTCCCCCTCCAATCCCTAAGGATTGTTCGCACACATACATCAGCATCGCACGAAAATACCTTCCCCCTACAATTTTAACACAGAGGAAGGCATTACCCTTTGCCGCCAAATGCCACCAAGATTATCAGTGTCTGTGTCCCGACTGATTTTTGGAGAATGAAAATGAGAGAGGGAGAAAACAGGGGGTGCTTAAGGGAAAGGATAGAAAGTGGGGTATAGAGTGCTTCCTACAGCTGCTTTAAGTGTAGTTCGGTGGCATTGCTACTTTTTACCTCTGCTCTCAACATAATTTCACTGTTGATGTTAGTAATAATTCTTGAGCCCAACAACAAACATTTCAAAGACATGGATCTAGCATTTAATGTTGTTTCTGCTCAGCCTGAACTTTGTAGTTCTGTTGTCAAAGAGAATCCAGTAAAGGGATCTGTAAATATAGAAAATAGAGATATACTGTTCATACCAACAAGCACCTAACATACTTAATTAACTATATGGCTGCTTAGAAATATTTCAATGTGTTTAGTTTAGTCTTCAACATAACTGGTAAGGTTTTCTTTCTTTTTTTTTGCAAGGTTTAAGGGAAGGGGTTTGGGGGGGGCGGGGCTGGCTTTCAACCCACCACCTTTGACATACGGAGCCAGCGCCCTACTCCTTTGAGCTACAGGTGCCGCCCGGTAAGGTTTTCTATGAAATAAATTCTTGTTTTGTTTTGTTTTGTTTTTTTCTTCAGACAGAGTCTCTCTTTAATGGAATGAGTTGCACAAGTGCCAGTTGTATGTCACCCTGGGTAGAGTGCCATGACATCACAGCTCACAGCAACCTCAAACTCTTGGGCTTAAGCAATTCTCTTTCCTCAGCCTCCCAAGTAGCTGGGACTACAGGCACCTGGCACAACACTGGGCTTTTTGTTGTTGTTATTGTTGATTAGCAGGCCCAGGCTGGATTCATTCGAAACTGCCGGTCCCGGTGCATGTGGCCGATGCCTTAGCCACTGACCTACAGGCACCAAGCCACAAAATACATTTTTATCCCTCCATTAGAACACCACCTCCAATTTTTAGGAAAAATTTATTTTTATATACAATTATAATTTTACGTTTTACTAAGGAAAACTTTCCAACTTCATGCCTTTATACAGCTTTAAAGTGCTCTGAAGAACATACGCTTTTCAACTCTTTTTTTTTGTGAATCTTAAATTCACAGAGCTCCACAAAGAACATACTAGACAGCCTGGCACCAACATTAAAGGGCTTCAGGGGGAAAAAAGGCCTGCAAAGGCCTGGCTGAAGTCAGGGAGAGCTTCAGGTAAAAGGCCCGGAAAGGGCCTAGCTGAAGCCTGAATGGAGCCCACACAGGCCATATTTCATTTGCTAAGTTCCTAGTGGCTATAAAGTACCAGGATCTATTATCTGGAAAATATTAGTTGCTGTAAAAAAAATAAACAAATAAAGCTCCATCTGTCAGGGCTTAACATTCTGGAAGATCATTTCCGCCTTAAAAGAAGTCCATCCATAGTGGCTTTTTGCTGATAGAATTCCACTGTTGATGCTGTAGCCCTGGCTCTTTCAAACTTAGTGACTGCAGTTAAGTTGAAGACCCAACTCATGGTATTCTGTCTTGGACACGGCTTATCTTTTTCTCAATCTGTTTGGCACCAAGTGTCAAAGGTTGGAGTGCCTGGAAGGTCATTTTGACTTCCAAAACTTGTTTTCTGTCCTGAATTCTCCCACTATTTGCCACCTAGAGATGGGTGACAAGAGAGGACAGCCAGTTACTACCATACCCAGACAGCCCCATCCTGCATTGGTCCCCTCAGAAGCTAAGGACAGAGCTGGAAATGCACATGGACATCTCATCTTGAGCAGAAGCAGAGCATTCCAGAGTGGACAGTCTGGTCCCTCAGGCGAGCTCTCCTCATGCAGGTACATTGAGAGCCCTTGGTGCCTCTCATGTTCACTCACAGGAACAGGCTCCAGCTACCTGGAGACCACTCCCAGGAATCCCTTGAGGATGCTCAGGCTTGGTTTCCTGATGACTCCGCTCAACGAAAAGGGGAGGGTGTCCACTTGGTGGCTGCAGCCATTTAGCCCCAGGGTCAATGCTGGACGAGTGACTGCTAGAGGAGCCCTGTGAGCTAAATAGAAGGCCAGCACTCTTGCCTGAGACAGGACTCCTAAGGACCAGACATGCCGTCTTTCACCTTCTCTTGGGCACAGGTACCTGACTGGTGACAATTCACTGGTATGTTAGAGAGACTCCTCTGTGAGGCTGCAAGGTACAGAAGCAGCCACTGCCACCTGTTGAGGCATTTTCGTACCCCTTATGCGTGTGCTCACAGGGATATCTGTACTCCTATGGCACTGAGTGGAGCAAAGTGGGTGATGGAGGCTGTGCAGCCCTGCCGGCCTTCACCACCACTCCCACTGTCAGCCTGGGCAGCAGGACTTCTGCCACTAACACCATGGGTTCAAAGTCAGGCCTTGTCTGTGTGCTGCTGAGACTGAACCAGCTTACCTGGGCTGTAGAATCTGTCAGTAGTTGATTGCTCTGTCTGCAAGTGACGCTCTTAGGTCCAGGGTGGAACCCTGTCCTCTGCTGCCATCTGGTGGCTATGATTGGCATGCAGCGTTGTTGACACGACTGTCATGGAGTTGCCCCCTGTGTGACAGGCGGGTTCTGGACACACAGACATGGGGTTGCAGCACTGCAGATTGCACCGTGCCTGTCCTTTACTACCCAGGACACTTGGGGTTAGAGGATGCTGCACTGTTCACTGCAACAGGACCCACCAAGTGCAGATGCCACCATCAGCATCACAGCATACAGATATGTGGGGGACAGTAAGAGATGAACGTGCTAGCTCAGAGGGAAGCAGAGATCAGTCCTCCATGCCCGTGATTTCAACCTCAGCTCTTTTTTCTTCTATTGACCCTAAAGCTTGAGGATCCTGAGTGGGGACTGTCTCTTCCTGGGTCCATAAGACCCCCTAAGGTGCCAACATCCTAAGATACAAAAAGATTAAACACATGATTAATACAATGAGCTAGGCCATAAAGTCGGGGGCCTGAAGGTCACCAGCATGCTCTGTTCTCATAGCCCACATCACTGTCTTCTGTGCGTGCTTCATTTTCTCCTTATGGTTGGAAACATGGGTGACACCAGTTCTGAGCTGCAGGGTGAAAGTTCTTAGGGATAGACTTTGTAAGCTGGGCTTGAGTTGTATTCCTGCCATCCGACTCCTCAGCCAGAGACAAAGAGCAAATTGTGTATTTAGGTATGAGATATGCTGCCAATTTAATGGCCTCACGAATCCCTACCACAACTCTCCTCGTAACAACATACCCTCTCTATTCTCCCTACTTCTGGCCCCTGCTCTGGGGTCCTTGAGGGCCACCATCTAGAGAACTCTGAGATAACAGAGGCCGCCAATCTCAAATGACTAAGGTGTAGAAATTCTGCTCTGAGACTTGGAGAAGGGACAGGTATAAGCAAGGTCACTGCCAGCCCTGGCCAGCTTATGACCTGAGATTTTACACACACTGTGTCAAACAGTCATCAGAGTGTGATAAGAGGAGGGACAGAGGAGGGTGTGACAAGAGGAGGGGCAGGTTTGATTTAACAAATGACCCCTCTCCTTTTAATTCAAATGCCCCCCTCTTCTTTTAATTCAATGATCTGAAAGTAGAAAAGGAATCAGTCACCTTTTCCAGTCTGTCTTTAAAACAATCATCTGAGTGAATTCAATAACTCAATTTGTCTCAGAACACGTCATGCTTCACAGGACTGCAGTTAATGAAGAGCAGGAAGAACGTTCCTAAAGAACACTTTTTGCCTGCACTGCTCAAGTCTGATGTGACATTGGAGGGGGCTAGGAAGTCTTGTGGCTGTTCCTTAAACAACGTATTTCTTATATTTCCCCCAAAGTCATTGGATATTTTTTGACATCTTAGAAATTAAAGTTGGAAAAGACTTAAGATCTATTAAAAACTAATAGCTAGGCCAGGTGCAAGTGGTTCACGCAGCATTCTGGGAAGCGGAGGCAGGAGGTTCCCTTGAGCTCAGGAGTTCAAGACCAGACTGACCAAAAGCAAGATTCTATCTCTACTAAAAATAGAAAAAACTAGCTGGGTGTAGTGGTGAGTGCCTGTAGTTCCTGCTACTTGGGAGGCTGATGCAAGAGGATTGCTCGAGCCCAGGAGTTTGAGGTTGTTGTGAGTTAGGCTGAGGCCATGACACTCTACCCAGGGGGCAAGGAAAGACTCTATCTAAAAGAAAGAAGAAGGAAGGAAGGAAAGAAGGAAGGAAGGGAGGGAGGGAAGGAAGGGAGGGAAGGAGAGAGGGAGGAAAGAAAGAAGCATGACCTGAATATACTTGCAATTAACATGCTGCAAAGAATTTCATGCTCATGTGTGGCATCTGTGGCTCAAGGAGTAGGGCACTGGCCCCATATACCAGAGGTGGTGGGTTCAAACATGGCCCCAGACCTGGCTCAAAACTGCAAAAAAAAAAAAGAATTTCATGCTCACACTTCTCTTAGCTGTGTTGTTCAAAGCATATAGACCCCAATCATAATTTATGCATCTCTAGGAATTTCTCAGATCCTTCTCCAGGCAGTGGGACTGTTGGGTTAGGGTTAGAATAACTGACCCATTACCCAAAGTGGCTCAAAGTTCAAACATCCTCTGAGTCATTGACTGTAAGAGGAAGATGGATTCACAGTCGTGTGGGTCAATTCTGTAAGCTGATATATATCAATTTGATTAATTTGACAAATATTTGCTGAGAGCCTAACGAACCCCAAACAGGGTAAGTGTCCCAGCTAATCCTGTGAGGCTTGTATACCGAAAGCCACGAGCTTTGGGACTGCGTGGACCGGGATTCTCTACTGTCCTGTGTGGGAGTCAGGTTCATAGCATAGGTTAGGTCAAGCATTTCTAGGGGGCTTCTTGACCAGAGTCCAAGTTTCTCAACCCCCTGAGGCTACAATAGCCTGGTGGTCTGCACAGGATGGTTGGCACCCGGCAGGCTCAGTGCCGGAATTCTGGGGGCCCTGTTGATCAGAGTCCAGGATCTTGCACCCCACTTCAGGTGCTACAGATGGCCTGATTTTTATCTGGTGGCTGAGAATAAAATGCCTAGCAACCAAAGATTACCACTGCCCTAGTCCTGCTCAGGCATAGAGAGAAATCCCTGAAGGCCAGTCAGGCAAGTCTATCCCCAGTCTGTAAAGTGTGAGTTGTCATCATGAGGGGCCTGCATGACTTTCCCTGCCTTTGTTTCTCTTCTTCTGACTGTTAATGATTACTTGGATTAAGTTTATGCATTAACATGATTTATGATTTTTGATTGAATAAAGAGGCCAATGGGAGAATGGGCCGAGGCTGCCCTTGAGATGCTGTGAGTTACAGTGCCCGCCTCTCACGGGTTCCCATTGGTGATTTCACCTGAGATAACTGAGTCTGAGTGTTTTCTCCAATCAACTGCCCTCAGTGCAGATCCTGGCAAAGGTGGCGGAGACCCAGCCCCCATAGTCCTGATTCTTACAGGCCGTGGACAATGAACTTCTCTACCCTTTCACAGCCCTTAGTTTATGATTGAGAATGAAACTAGTCACCTCAGAGGAATGCGATGAGCATTGTGCCTGGGAACAAGGGTACAGCACCTTTATGAGTCACCAACGTGATGAGCCTGTTACAGTAGATGTCTGGGGCCCGTGCATTTGGGCAAACCTCCCCCGACTCCACCACCCCACAGCCTTCTGTGTCTCCTCAAACACTCATCAAATGTGTCTCCTCAGTTTCCCCCACACACTGAGGTCCTGGGAGACGGGACCCTGACCAGCGTCTTGCTCCATGCTTGGGACACGGTAAAGGATGAGGAACTATTTGTTAATTGTGTGAAACACACACAGAGGCCGAGTTAGTCGGGTTCTACCCAGGCTGCACATCAGACTTCCTGGGAATTGCTGGGATTCCCCAGAGATTCTGATTTCTATAGGGCTGTGCTTCTCTGCTTTGGCTTCACATTAGAATCAGTGGGATGGGGGGACGGGGTAAGGATTTAAAATCCCACATGCTCAGGACCCATCCCTGACCCGTGACACCATCATCTCTGGGGGTGGGACCCAGGCATCGGCATTTTGGAAACGTTCCCCCAGGTGACTCCGTTACGCATCTGGGATTGGGCATCGCTGGGCTGGATGGGGAGACAGTTTAAGTGCCCGAGGACTGGATGATGGATGTGTCCTTAGGGAAGACAGAATTAGCAGGAGACTGAGTCACCTTTTGCCTATACCTAATAAAATATCTTTTCTGTCCTTTCCAACGTTTGTTGACTTAATTCAGTTGCTGAGTGTACAGGCTGCTGTCTTCCACGCTCACGTCTCTGTCTTTTGGCTCTTGGCCACTGCTATGGAGTGACTGTGCTGGGTGGAATAGCATCCCCCCAGAACTCATGTCCATTTGGACACAGGGGTATCAGGTCTTTTTTCTTTGTTGCCACACCTGGGAAGAAGAGTTGTCTTGGGCCACACATTAAATACACAAATGCTGATGAGCCAAAGAAAAGGCGCATGCGTGCTTTTCACAAGCTTGGACAGACAGGCCCAGCAGCAAGGGGCATGCGTGCTCTTCACAAGCTCCGACAGACAGGCCCAGCAGCCTCAAATGATCTGCGCATGGCCCAGGCCGCGGGCTGGACACACCTGAAACCGGTGAATGTGACCTTATTCAGAAACAGGGTGTTTGCGGACATAATGAGAGTAAGACCAGGTCATTCTTGATGAGGATGGGTCCTAATCCAGTGATTGGTGTCTTTATAAGAAAAGGGGAATTTGGACAGACACACCAAAGAACACTCCAAGGGTCAGTGTGACCTGCCAGCTGTCAAGTGTCTACAAGCCAAGGGACAGCAGAGGGTCCCAGCAGTGTTAAGACACTAGGAAAGGAGCAGGGGGCAGATTCTTTCTCACACCCTCCAGAAAGAGCTGACCTTGACCACAGCTTCACTGTGGACCTTTCCTCCCCTCCTTGATTGTGAGAAAACACTTTGCTGCTGATTTCTTGTAAGCCACCTAACTCGTGTCATTTGTCCCAAGAGCCCTAAGAAAACAGTACAGTGACTTAATTGACATCTCTAGCAGCAAGGTAGAGTCTTTCTTAAGACTGGAGTCATATTTCTGAAATCATTTATTTATTTATTTATTTTTGAGACAGAGCCTCAAGCTATCGCCCTGGGTAGAGTGCTGTGCCATCACAGCTCACAGCAACCTCCAACTCCTGAGCTTAAGTGATTCTCCTGCCTCAGCCTCCTATGTAGCTGGGACTACAGGCGTCCATCACAGCGCCTGGCTATTTTTTGGTTGCAGTTGTCATTGTTCTTTGGCAGGCCCAGGCTGGATTTGAACCTGCCCGCTCTGGTGTATGTGGCTGGTGCCTTAGCCACTTGAGCTACAGGCACTGAGCTCTGAAATCATTTCTTTATTTTTCACACGCTTGGCTGCTAGTTAATGAAGCTGCTCTGACTACAAGTCAGTGTCGTCACGCAAAGTGACAAATTCATGTCGTGTTCAGGATAGACTGGAAACGAATGCATATGTTACACGTTTAAACTCTCAGAGAAGGCTGAGATCAATGAAGCCAAACTTCTAAAGATAAGAAATCAATGGGCGCTTGTCCATCTTGAACTCGTCAGCGCCTGTTTCCTGTGGAGCTGCTGAAGTCCGGCCTCCTGACGGGAAGGCCTTTTCCAGTCTTCAGAGATACTGCAGATGGAGAATGTTTGCACGTGGGTGGGATTAGAGATTCCCTTCGCCCAGTGTGGGAACACTGGGTGGAAACCGTCCCAGTCCAGGAGGAGAGTCAGCTCTGAAAGAAAAGATAAGGGGTGGAGGTGAAAAATTATTTGTTTGTTGTCACCGGCTGAATTGTGACCCTCCCAGAAACTGTCTGTTGAAGTCCTAATCTTAGTAACTCAGAGGGCATGTGAACGCATCTAGACCAGAGTTTTTCAACCTTTTTTATCTCACAGCACACTTGAACCTATAGTTAAACTTCCACAGCACTCTTGAATTACGTTAATTGTAAAAGAAACAGAAAAAAAAGAGTATGCTTACTATGCTTTGAACTTCTTCTGAAAATAATTTAATGATCTTTAAACATTTTTGCGGCACACCTAAGGTCTTCTGACAGTGAACCAGTGTGCCATGGCATACGGGTTGCAAATCGCTGCACTAGAGCCAGAGCCTTTAAAGAGGTGACTGAGGTTAAATGGGGCTGTCAGCGTGGCCTGTAATTCACTGAAGTTGGCGTCCTTGTAAGCAGAGATTAGGACACAGAAACACATAGAAAACGCCAGTGAGAAGTTACTCCTCTGCAAGCCATGGGGAGGGGGCCTCAGAGGACACCCAGCCTGCAGAGACCTTGATCTTGGACTTTCAGCCTCCAGAATTATAAGAAAATTAATTCCTGTTGTTTAAGCCACCCAGCCCATAGCATTTTGCCATGACAGCCCTAATGAGCTAATACAGTGGTCACAGGTGGCTGATGTCCAGGCACAACACATTGTTCTCAGCTTTAAGCCCGTGTGTCTGTGTCAGCCCTGGGTGGGTTTGTATAAATCCACACATGGCTATTCCTCTGTTAACATGATTTATCTCTGGATGACAGGATTGGGGGGAATTTTTTTTTTAAATGTTTGTACTTTTCTGTTGTGCTTGATTATTTTTTTAAATAATTTATGTGCTTTCTTTGCACAAAGACAACTTTCCCAAAAAGTCTGCTTTCAAAAGAAAAAAGAAACAAGCCGTTCTCCTCAGTAGTAATTATTTGTTTCTGGCCCAGCTGGCTCCTTTTCTCCTCTGGGACAGGTCTGGGACAGACCCAGAATATTAAACGAGCAGGAAACACTAGGCCAGCTTCAGCGAGACGCAGTAGCTCCTGCAGCCCCAGCGCTCTCAGAAAAAGGCAAATTTGTTTTATGACATTAGGTGTCCAAGTAACCTTGACTAGGACATCTGCATTTTTCTCCCCATTTTTCTTACATAGAAAATATGAAAAACCTCAGAATCTCTCTTTATAAACTCAAACTGCACAAATAAGCCTGGGGTCACCTGGGAATTAGCTCCTTTCTGGTGTAGAAAATGAATGAAAAGAGCTACGTTTAGGGACAGGGATCAGTAACAAATCTTGTTTTCACAAGACAAAAAGTGTAATCTCATGAAAGCAGTGCTTGGAGCTGATTAAATCTGTTAATTTTAGTTGGATTTTCTCTTCTGCAATGAAAAAAATGAGTAAAGATTGGAGACCTTTGAAAATTATTTGACCCAAATCTTCCTCCCCGCACGACCCCCTTCCCTCTTCTGCGACAGAAAGGAACTGAGAATGAGCCGGTGTGGTGCCCCCCCCCCACAACAAAGTTGGGGCTCAAACTCAGGTCTCCAGGCACCCGAGAGCAGTGTCTCCCTGTCCAAGCTCCAGAAAACCCTTTTCTTCCATATCAGCTCTAACAGGCGAGTCCCACGTCTGTCCGCAGGCCCCATCCCCTGCACTGAACCAACCCCACCTGGTGATTGTGGACACAGGACGGATGTAAGGTGTGGACACACACCAGACAGCAGTGACCAGTCACATGCCCCCAGGCAACCTCTTGCATCTCTTGCCCTGGCTACAAAGAAGTGCAGCAAAGACTTCGTTTAGTGGGATCAGTCTCCAATCAGAATTCCAAAAGCCTCCGTGTAACCGCAAGTTGGGACCGTCCAAGGGGGATCTCAGCTTTGGCCATACATTCAAATCACTTGGGAGAGGAATGTTCATTCCTGGGCCCCAGAGGCCTTGGACATCGATTAAATAGTCTGGGTGGGGCCTGAGCAGCAGCAATTTTAGAGTTAATTTTGGTTGCTTGGTTTTGGGGGTGGGGAGACAGGGCTGGAGTGCCAGAGTTCTGTGGCCCTAGCCTAGCTCACAGCATCCTCAAACTCCTGGGCTCAAGCCATCCTCCTGCCTCACCCCCCGGACTAGCTGGAACTACAGGTGCCCACCACAACACCTGGCTAATTTTTCTATTTTTAGTAGAGACAGGCTCTCTCTCTTGCTCAGGCTGCTCTTGAACTCCTGAGCTCAAGAGAGCTCTGGCTGGGCCTCCCAGCGTGGTGGGATTACAGACATTAGGCCACCATGCCCGCCATCAGCACAGTTTTAAAAACTTCCTTGGTGGTTCTTGTGGGCCACGTGGGTCAAGTGGCAGTACTGATGTCCTCAGCCAGAGACCCCAAGCCCGCCCCCAGAGCCACCCAGAGACTCCGATGCAGTCACACGGCTGTGAGAGTGAGGTGTCCCCCGGCTAGTCTCTGTGTATGAGGGAAGGCAGGTGTCTTACCTGGGTGGGCCAGAGGGTCCTTTATCATTTCAGCCCTGGAAGAATCTCAGGAGAAAGGCACACAGGGCCTGGAGGGGCTTCCAGCAGTGCTCCCAGGCCGCCTTCTCGGCTTCCTGGTTCCCGGCAGACCTGGGTCCCGCCGGGGTGGCCGTGACCGTGGTGCGGGTGGTGGGTTTCGCTTCCTGCAGCTTTTTCACGGAGTTCTCTCCCCACTGCGTAGCTTCACTGGGTTTTGCGGGGGTCCCAGGCCTGGAAGGGGGCTTCTCCACCTTGGCAGTCTTAGGGTGCTGCTCGGGTGCGGGGCTGCCCGCGAGGCTGGAGGCCACCTGCCGCATGTGCGCCTGGGGCCCGGCCACCTGACACACGGGTGGCCTCAGCACCGGAGCCCCAAGGCATGGGTGGCTGAGGAGCCTCAGCTCCCGCAGGGCCTGGTCCCAGTAAGCCTGGGGGTCGTCCACGAAGGCCTGGCACACGCCGGGCTGCCCGCTGTACTTGCACCAGTACGGCCCCCCCTGGTCCTGGCAGTGAACAAGCAGCTGGACGTCCCTGGGTCCCAAGCTGCTGTGGCGCATGGTGCAGGAACCCCCGCCTCCAGTCTGGAAGTGGAATTCCTCCCCGCTGCGTCCTTGCTTTTGCTGAGGGGCCTGTCCCCAAGTTCCCAGGCAGGACAGGGCCAGCAGCAGAAGGCAGGGGAAGAACTCCATGGTGACTGATGCTGCCACCACCCTGCCTGCAGGCCTGCCCCGGGAGCCGGAACCCCAAAGCGGCAAGCCACCCTTTAAAGGGCGCTGCACAAAAGGCTCTTTTTTCTGCATGTGTGACAGGGTGTTCCGCAGGAGGAAAACAGAAGCAGACCTGGGACACGGAACATTTGGCAAGAGGGGAGCGGCCCCCAGGACCCACCTGGCACAGGGAGGTTTGGGTTTCCTGAGGGCAGCAGGGAGCCCGGCTCAGCCACACACAAGGCCCACACAGGGGCTTGAGGTTGAGGGTTTTGCGTTTTCCAACTGCGGGGAGCTGGCTCTATACTTGGACTGCCTAAGGGAACGGCCTTCTTAGTCAACACTGGGGACATTCCAGGTATGGCAGAGAAGTTCTGGACAGAGAGGTTTGTCGCTCAGCGCCCCCCCCCGACCCCCTTGGGCTCCCTGTCTCAGGGTGCCGGTCTTGTGAACCCAGGTCTTGTGAGATAGTCTAGCAAGTGCAAAAAAACCCTGAGGTTTTTTTTAAAAGAAGGGACTGTGGGAGCATGTGCTGTGTCCATAGCCCACACTTGGTGTGTCTCCTCAATTTTAAGTATTGTTATTGTACTAAATTTAAAAAAAAAAAAAGTGCAACAGAAATAGAAAATAACTTTTGAATTTGTGTCAAGAATTATATTTGGACATAGTCACCGCTGTCTTTCTATGACCCTTTCAGAGGGCTCTGCAGAGTGGACCAAAGGTAGCAATTTACTGTTGGGGCTGGGGTTAGTGTTGGCAAATGTTAGGTGCCCATGTTGACCATGAGGGTTGTCCCCTGGTAGTCCCACGTAGGCTGGTTAGTGTCTTACACGGCCTCCTGTCCACCTGGACAGTCTCAGCCCTGAGACGACCCAGTGAGGCTGGGACTACAGCCAGCCCCAGCTTCCACGGCCACATGTGCTCGGGGGCATTCCAGGCTTCTCAGAAGAGGGGTCACCCCAGCCTGTTGGGGAGCAGGGAAACTTCAAGACAAGTCAATCTACCAGGTTAAAGAGGGGTGCAGGCAGGTTTTTGAGACAGATGGAACAATGCCTGTAAAAGGGTGTTCTGTTGAAATAATGTGGGTGACTAGAGATGAGAGACAGGCCGGAGAGATGTCCCAGGTAAGGGGCCCACAGCCCCGGCACCAACCCACAAGGCCCAGATTTCTTTTTTTCTTTTGAGACAGAGTCTCACTTTATCACCCTAAGTAGAGTGTTATGGCATCATAGCTCACAGCATCCTCAAACTCTTGGGCTTGACAATCCTCTGGGCTCAGCCTCCCAACTAGCTGGGAATACAGGTGCTAACACTATGCCTGGCTAGTTTTTTTAAGTAGAGATAGGGTGTCGCTCTTGCTCAGGCTGGTCTCAAACTCCTGAGCTGAAGCAATCCACCTGCCTTGGCCTCCCAGAGTGCTGGGATTACAGGTGTGAGCCTTTGTGCCTGGCTCCTAATTTCTTTCTGTCTTTCTTTCTTTCTTTTTTTTGAGACAGAGTCTTACTACGTTGCCCTGGGTAGAGTGCCCTGGCATCACAGCTCACAGAAACCTCCAACTCTTGGGCTCAAGTGATTCTCTTGCCTCAGCCTCCCAAGTAGCTGGGACTACAGGCACCCACCACAACGCCCGGCTATTTTTTGGTTGTAGATGTCATTGTTGTTTGGCAGACCCTGACTGGATTCAAACCCACCAGCTCCGCTATATGTGGCTGGCACCCTAGCCACTGAGCTACAGGCACCGAGCCTTCTGGCTCAAAGTTTCATCATTTAATACTTGACAGCCTCTGGGTCTACTCAAGGAAGCAACATATAGACCATGTTTGCCAAGTTCTTTTTTATTGAAATGAAATCATGACATAATGAAAAGACTTAGGGAAAAGGCTCTATCTTGAATTTTCCGACATGGATGTTAAATTTTGTTTGACCTGTTTTTCACTGCTATTCACTTTTGATAATGACAAAAACCAACATAAAGGCCTAAAGCAAACTCATATTTACTTTGTGCTTTTGTAGATTTTTTAAGGAACAAAATACCAAGTAGAGGGATCGTGACAGAACCTTGTCATATTTCATTTCAGAATACTCATCAATAATCAAATGCTAGTCGTGTTGGCTACACTCGAATTAATGTTTATCCTAACAAATCAGAAAACCTAACAAATCAGTGTACATCTTAATTAGCGAAAACTACTGTCTTTCTAAAGAATGGCATTTCTTTCAAAGTGTCTCTCTCTCTCTGGTTTGAATTTGCTGGCTGGAGTTAAGCTGGCCTCCCTGTGTTTTTGTAATCTATTTCTAAATGGAACATGAAGAATCACTGACCAAGTAGACGAAAATCTCTGAGAGGAAAGATACACTGTTGGTTTCATCCATTTCCAGTGAAAATGGATAATTTTCAACAGCACCAGTAAGTCAACACTGACCCAATCGTTAAGTACATTTAGGAGAAAATCCTATAGTATTCATTGGTTTAAAAAATTGCAATTGTGGTAACAAAAGGTATGTACAATATTTACTATACACAGAATGCATCTTTCCTGTGAGCTGGTCTGTGTTAGCACGTGCCACACAGGACGATATGTGAGAAGCTGAGCCGTGACACTGGACTAGCTGGTGGATACGGAAATGCATCCCATGGGAACCAACACCCCATAGGTTGTAGTGTCTCAATAAAAACCCAGTGTAAAAAAGGGAAATATAAAAATAAACGAGGGAGGGGGAATCATCCTTGAAGAGTGATGGACACACGCACTATAATGTGATTCTGTACATCGCTAACAAAGCACTACCCAGAGGCCAATGGCGCCATTTCCTTGGTGCCCGCCTGAGTCACTACGTTGCCGCCGGCCTTCTTCCTGGCTTCGGAAAGTCCTGGCAGGCCCAGAAACTGTCAAAAGTCTGTGGTCTTTTCCACTTTGAGTATCTTGATGCTGAAATCAATGTCGAACACATTTTTAGAAATTAGTTTTGGATTTCTAAAGAGAAAAGTAGAAATGCATGGGGCTAAGATAGTCCCCACCAGCAGCTCAAGAACTACAGAAAATAGAAGCTTGTTTAAGAGACAGTGGGTCTTGGAATTTGTTATAGAAATGAACAAAAAAACTTTTAAATCCATAATACTCAAGGTACGTGGTCGGTACCTGGATTACACAGATATATAAATCTTTTCTTTATTCTAAGAGACAAGGTCTTGCTGCGTTGCCCAAGCTGGAGTGCAGAGGCTGTTCAAAGGTGGCACAGGGCACTCGCAAACTCCTGGACTCAAGTGTCCTCCCTCCTCTCCCAGCCTCCCAAGTAGCTGGGACTACAGCTGCACAACACCACACTGGGCATTGTTTTTTGCTATAGTCATATCATCATTGTGTGTGTTAAATATTGCCCATGCATGTGTATATACATATATATATATACACACATTTAGAGAGACAGTCATTGTACTATATGTCAGATATACACAATCGTCCCTTGGTATCTGTGGAGCATTGGTTCCAAGACCACTAGGCACATCCTAGTGATATACTTTAAATCACTCTTAGATTACTTATAACACCTCACACAATGTGAATGTATTCAAAATTGTTATACTGTATTTTAAAATTTTGTATTATTTTTATTGTTGCATTGTTTTTTTTGTTCGTTTGTTTAAGACAGAGCCTCAAGCTGTCACCTTGTATAGAGTGCTGTGGCATCATAGCTCACAGCAACCTCCCTCCAAATTTTGGGCTTAAGCGATCCTCTTGCCTTAGCCTCCCAAGTAGCTGGGACTACAGGAGCCCGCCACAATACCTGGTAATTTTTTTTGGTTGTAGTTGTCATTGTTGTTTGGCGAGCCCGGCTGGATTTAAACCTGCCAGCTCTGGTGTATGTGGCTGGCGCCTTAGCCACTTGAGCTACAGGCGCTGAGCCTACATTGTTATTTTGATTGTTTAGAGTATTTTCAATCCACAGTTGGTGGAGTCTGTGGATGTGGAACCTATGCTAGGTAGAGTGTCTATGAAATCATAACGTATAACCTACACACTGAACCTAGATTTTCCACTTAATGTATTCACTGTATTTTAATGCTCTAAAAACTATAATCTTATAGGCTCGGCGCCTATAGCTCAACCCGCTAGGGCGCCAGCCACGTACACCTAAGGTGGCGGGTTCGAATCCCCAGCCC